TTTGTCCAAATACTTATGAGCCCTTAAAGTCGGGGGACTGTGTGAAGAAATGGTTGTAATTCCTACACGGTTCATACTACATTTTTGAAATAAGCCTTAAATGAAAGCTGAGAGTCTGCACTTTAAGCAGGTATTCATTGTTTCATTTAAAACCCATTGTGGTGGTGTACAGAGCCAAAATGACAACAACTGTATCATTGTCCAAATAATTATGGACCTGACTGTAGATAGATAGATAGGTACGTAGGTAGATAGATAGATAGATGTCCTGCATAGTATACTTTTAAAACCTGATTCAAGTAAGTATTTTTAGTGAAACTAGGTAAAAATGTTAATGATCCACCTTTATATCCCATAACTGTGACTGATTTCAATCATTTGCCAAAAACGAGGGCTGTACCGAATGTTACGTTTTACATTCAAGGATTCTACTAAGGTTTTAGAATGAAGCTTTGAATGTCTGCTGTCATATTTTATGACATTATCACCTTAAAAAGAAATAAAATTGGTTGAGAAATCCTCAATATGAATAAAGTTGTTAATTGGATTAAATGAGCTGATGTGCTTTTTTTATTCAATCAAATATATGGTGCTGTTAGATTGGTCGTTGATATAGGTGTGGGCTAGCGGTAGAGAATGTGGACTGAAGCAGACTATTCTGAGAGATAAAAGCATGTTGTGAATTTTGGAAACGATCAGATCTGTCTTTTTTCAATAAATCTTTTGGACTTTCAGGCCTCATAACACTGGAAATGTTATTGGAAATGTTTGGATCACACAGGCTGGAAACAATCCCACACAGCCACCACTGGAATCTAACTCTACAACTTGTTTCATACTAATAATATTAGCGTCGCTTAATGTTAATCTGCAACGGTGCAGAAATATCGGGTTTAAACAGAATGAACAGACAAGCCAAAAAAAGCTGTGAAGGATTTAAATGTGAATGTGAAGTTGTGTACCTGTCCCGATGAACATGACGTCATACTGTCCGTCCTCAGCCTCCACTCTGTCCACCACCAGCTGGGAAAACTGGTAGTCCACATCCGTCCGCACCATGATGGGACGCCCGCCAATTGGGTGCACTGGGTTGTACATGGCTGGGTGACCCCTGGCAAAGGTGATGACATCATCAGGGAGGTCCTTGGTGGAGTCGAATCCTCCGAATGTCTTACTGGGGCACTGAGAGTCGGAACAAAAGGCCAGGCAGTTGATTAATGTTAAATTATCCAAATCCTGTGAGCTAATTTGACTTGGCTTGTAAAATCATTTATTAAAAATTGTTTATGCAGAGACTCACAGTGCCAGGGCGGGGGTAGGGCACCCTCCCTTGGAAAGGCACCCACTGGTAGTTGGGTCCATCTCTGTGGGCATAGGGCCCCAGGAAAACCCTCCTGATGTCTGCCATATTGTACATACACACTGCCGAGCCTTTAAAGATGTTACTGTGGAGGGAAAGAGAGAGAAAAAGAAAAGGAGTTTAAGGATGAAGGGAGGGCGGGAGCGAGAGGGCGGTGAAAGAATGAGAGATGACAGAGACAAACAAAAGGGATTCGCAAACGATTGGTCACAAGACAGGGATTAGGAGCTTGTGAAATGCTGAAGAAAGACAACTAAATGACCCTTCATCGCACAAAGACGGAGGGGAGCAGGGTTGTCATTACCTAAGTATAGGAATGACAGATTGGAACTTCTCTCTGATTGCTTCCAGCCTCTCGAGAACAGACAGGAATTTGGGCACGCCACCAACAAAACGGGAGACCTGGTTCAGAGCATATTTGAAATCCCCTCCAATATTTTTGCGAGTGCTCGCCCGAGCCAGATGGGTGGATTTTGCTTTCGCTTGCCAGACAAGGTCCAAGGCAGGAAAGGTCAATCAATCATGCAAGAAAAGGGAAATTTTGTGGATTTTATTTCAATACAGACTCCATCCTGGGTCATCCAGAAGACAGCAGTTTGAGCTGTGACTCATTAAAGTGGAAAAATTTGGGAGTTTCGGGTGAATATTCCAAGATATATATTATCCAAAAGAGTTATTAAAATATTGCTGTGGAGATTGTGACAAATACTGTAAGCTGGCTGTTTAAATCTCCGTGCACCATGGAGTCCATTAACCTCTGACCAATTATAAGAGTCTCACAATTTTATGTAGTTATTTTCTTGTAGGTTCAAAAATCAAGTTCATTCATCAGCTTTTTGTCGCATTTTACAGATGGCAGATTTTAATTTGGACAGCCAGTCTCTTGCATTTGCAGGAACCGAACGCTTCAATAAGATTCGGGACGTCCTTTGTCTTGCTGACTGCACTGGGAAGTTGTATCAGACTAATTAGGGATGTGGCTGGCATACACACAGCCGACAGTACTCACCAAAGCGTGGAAGATGAATGGATTAGCATTTGAAAATGTTAATTACAGAGAAATTCAATTAACTCCGGGGGCAAAAAAAAAAAAGACACTCCAATATCTATGCTTAAGAAGAAGGGCGAACATGTGTTTGTGCAGATACACACAGGCCCACAAATTCTGTCGACCCCACAAAAATTGCACGTACGCACACAAACAGCGGCACAATCAAACATTGATCTGTCAGTGGCAGCTTCTTTGTGCCTCATTAAGTAGTGATATTAAAAGCCGGTCCCTCTGAATCTCTGCTCTATTCATCTCTGAAAACCGGCCACTTAGAAAACCAATTAAACCACTCTAATTCCTCAATGCCCCATAATAGAATTTTAAAGCATGTGTGTGTGTGTTTGTGTGCACATATGGGCACACATGTGGGGACGCTGTGTACAGGCACACATGTGGGGACGTAGGTGTACACCCACCGCCGCGCACCGACCTCTCACTTTGAATATATTTCCAGAAAGCAGAGAAAAGCCATGCAGGCCAAGTGATGCGAGGCGCCTGTCGGTATGCGTTAGCTTGCGCCGCCGTTCCATTCAGCCTGTCTTATCATTAGCGGTGATTGATGGTGAAGTGTTTGTCCTCCTTTCAAAGCGGTTCAGAGACGCTACTGGACACAAAATGCCCCCTCCTACTTCCCAAATGCAAATTCATCATCATCATGATAAGTGCCACCATCTGTGCCATTTTAACTCACTTATCTGCCTCGCCCCATGCCTTCACCTCTCCGCATGCTTCAATAGAGCCCCACCCGGCCTTCTGAAAACCCCATTCAAGGCTGGGGCGGCGGCCAGGGGAAAGACGCACGTTCCTGCCGAGTGAATATCATGTTTCTCCCGCTCCCCCCTGCTCCATAATCTGATTTCCCTACAAGCCTCTGCCAAGGTTTCACTGTAAAGAAAAAGGGGACAGGTAGCTGGGAATCGGCTAAAAGCAATCTCCATTCTGAGACGTGGAGAGGGGAATCATATGGGGGGAAAGCAGCCATAAGACACCTGTAAGTGGATTATGGGATGGGGAGCGCCGTCTGGGAATTTGACGGGGGCACGCTTGGGCGCTTGCATCCTGTCGTGTCATTTGAAATGGTTAGGAAATTACAGATAAAGGGAGGGAATAAAGGAAGAATTCTTGAAGGGAAATATGAAGCGTGTGTGTTTTTCAGATTCAGAGGAAATAACTTGTCCAGGACGGTTGCCCGCTGAATTTATATCAACTCTGATCTCCTAGCAACAAATCAACAAAACAAAAATGATACTACCAGCGTCTGTCAAGCTGTTTGAGCTTTTGCACGCACAGTTTGGAGGTCATCGTGAAGAGATCTGCATGGGTTTGTACCTGGATGTGGTGAATACAGCGTAGATAACTGGATTCTTTGGGTCCTTGGAGCTCATAAGATACACGTCCTCTGAAAACACAAAGCAAGAACAGGTGAAGGTGAGGCTTTTCAACAGTGTTTGAAGAGGAGTCTGTGAGTATCTTTCAAATACAAATAAAGAATACACACTTACGTAGCTCATCAAAGTGTGTATCAATGCCGTTGACCCCGGGCACTGAACACATTAGCCGGGCCTTGAGGAAAGTGGTCCACTTGTTCACCAGACTCCTGTGACCTCCCATGTCATTCTGTATTACGAATACACAAAGACTTCAATGCATTTCTGCAAACTCTGACACAAACATGTAGCTTTTCTCTGGAAGACCGTGCAGATAGCTAAGAAACGATTATGAATACGGAAGTAACGATACCAAAACTCATGCTATGTTATTATTAGGCATAAAAAAAAAGTCCACAATGCTAAGAAAATGAAAATGATCTTCATTAAGTAATAATTGTGATGTTACAATGTTCTCGTTAAGTCTGAGCTTTATTTTAAACAGTCTATGGTCTGAGCCTATCTCTTTCTTCTCTAGTATGATTGCACCCTCTGCTGTCCAAACAATAACAGGGTTTGACATTAAGCTTTTAAAAGATAAACTTAATCAACAGGGATTTGAACAATTATTATAATTTATAAATGTACAAATCATACAATTAACAGGTAACAATTACATGACTAAGACGAAGACCATTGTTTTTTGGCAAGATTTAAGTGGTTGAAGGAGCATTTTAATCCAAAAACAAGTGGCCAAACTGTGGAATTACAACTCTGGGGTTTGTTAAGTGATGCTATCGGGCCCAAAAATACTTTTTCCCATAGATTTACATTGGAAGACAGATGTCAGTAAATAAGTGGATACATTTTTTTGAGCATCACAGCCACCCGAAATAACTAATAACTACGAACTTCACTACAAGGATTTGATCGATTCGTTCTCATAACTTTTGGAAAATCTAGAAGAGACGTAAGACGTAGCCAGCTCTGTCGAGGGAGGTCCCTAGTGAGTTAGCTCTATGGGCCTAATTATGCAGAAGCAGCAGCAATCATCAAGACAATTTCAAACAGCGGAAATAGAGCTTTTATGGCTCGATTCGCCACAGAGCATATTTCACAAGAATGAATGGGTTCCGGCCTCCAACACTGCATCCAGGTCTTTTTATACATCCATGACCGGAGCCCTCATTGGAAGGGCACAATGGCTCTCACGTGCAGCCTTCCTGAGATATTTAATGCTTGTAATGTTATGTCATTTACATCGTTGACCTCAGCGTTAACTTCTATAGTGTCCAGTGTGGTAAGACAGACTCACACACACAGCTCAGCAGCAAAAGCCTCGTTTCGGCATTTATTTCCAGGTAACAATACTTTAGACGTCATGTATTTTACACTTGCTCTATCAAACAACTGCATGAGGCATTCCACTTGCCCGAACATAGAGTTTACTTGCCCTGCAGGCACTCGTAATGTCTGACAACTTTCAACAGGGAGAGGTAGCAGAAGGCAGCTTTACCAGCAGAATAATCATGTAATGTATTTGCAGATATCGTCACAGTCCCACAATGACATCAATTCGATATATCGTTACATCCCAAATTATGAATCTTTTCATCTTCTCAAAGTTAAAAGGAATTTATTTGTGTGTGTTGTTACCTTACACAGTTGTCCTATCCTGGCGATGGTAGCCTTGCCAGTGTGCTCTCCGTCCATGGCATTCTCTTTGAAAAATAGGAAGATCTTGTCGTCTTCAGGGTTGTCACTTTCTGGGATCAAGTGAACACCTACGAACCTTGGGTCTAGAGGAAAAATAAATGAATAAGTGAAGCACAGAAACACTGTACGCAGTAAAACATGCACACATTTGTTCATACACACATGAATCACACTACACAAATTTTACAATCCAACCTCTGCCCCAATGACAATCTTTTCACCCCTATTTTACACCTCTGAAACCAAATCCTCCGTGATATTCTCCAGTCACGGCTCAGTAATAACAGCCATTCACTTTACACCCTAGTGTTACAGTATCTGACTTTACCCCAAGTGAGCGCTCCAAGTCCAAATCCCACATAACCCCTTTCTCTGGGCCACATCCTCACAAACACACATGGCTCTGACTGTCCCCAGTAACACTTGAATAAATTTATCTCGACTTTAGGCGCGAGAGGAAATCAAAGCTAAACGGGGCGAGCTGAGGCCTCGGGGTCGGGATATCTCTTGACTTGAGGGGTGCAGAGGGACTGAGGAAAAAGTGGCCGCGGTCACTGAGGCGTCGTCACGCGTAAAACGAGCCTGTGTCTGAAATCTCCAGGGTTAGCCGGAGAGAAACAAGCAGTGCCATGTTACGCCTCCATGGCCGTTTAGGATATAGAGTAGCTGTGAAAAAGACAAGTGTGGCCAAAGTGGGGAGCAGATTTATAAGCGCTGCGCGGGTGCGAGACCTCTGGTATGAATCATGCGTACCCCACACACGCCTCATAGCTCCACTGTGAATATGTGCCATTAAATCTACTCATTCATAAATTCAACCTTGCGTGCCCTCGCATACAGAAACAGGCTTCTACAAGTGTCGCCAACCACTGAGGTCACAAAACTCATTACATTTAATTCCCAACAAAAGGCCGCTGAAGTTTAATCCAACCTCAGTGTTGAGTGAGAGAGAGGGCATTAAAGGGTGAAGAGATGTGTAAATAAATTGCATGAACAAAGACCAGCAAAGCCAAAGCTACCATTTAACCCTAAATCCTTTTTCAGAATCAACTGCTATTAAGGATTCATCCCCAAGTTTCTGTCTTGTTACATTTGAGTACCATGTAACCTTGTTGATAAAGGCTCAATGGACCATCCCCATCCCAGTAATCCATGCAATTACAATCCCCTCTTTGTGTGGAAGGAGCCGGATTTTCCCGGGCCGAATGGATGCAATCCCTGGCGTATTTGTTTGAACAAGGTGAAAGATCGATGGGGATTAGCGCTGTAACAATGGCTTCTCCTTTTTGAGTCGCTCTTTATTAATATGTCACAGTAATCAGCACTGCAGAGAGCAGTGTTTGTGATTTTTGATGGTGCTGGAGGAGGGTGGGGTGGTTGAGGGGAACTGAGAGGAATTTGACTCCACTACAGGAAAACAGCTGAGAGCGGATTAGTTCTGTGGGAAAGAGGGGGGAAAGGGACGGCACAGCTTGAGGGAAAGGTTCAAACTGACCTTTTGTGGCTCCCTAAGTCCTCCGCAGTGCCGAAAGATAGCCAGACAGACTGAACAGTCAATAACCCCTGCTGCCGCGCTAATCTTACTAGCACAGGCAAATCCAGTGACTTTGTGAATGGGCTCTGATATCTGATGTCTGCACATGAATGGAAATGATTGGAGACTTGAGGCTTGTGAGGGAATTTAATGCTTCAAAGTCCATTAAAAAGCTTCATGGTGTTCTTTCTCCATAACTGGCCGGTGATAAGGGTTTGTTTCCACCTTGTGCTGAACAGTTTATGAGGGCCACAAGTGTCCAATCTTAGTTTAATAGTGAAGTTTGTTGGAGTTTGTCAGGTTTGGAAATTAATGTTATCTAGTTTTTGAAGTCTAAACATTATTAGGTTCCACTGAAAGCTTGTAGGTGTAAGTGGTCTTTTAAAAAAGAACAGGAAAGGCATTTTTTTAAGCAGACTGCAATAACAAAACCCAACATAATACAGTCCAATGTAAAATTACACAAACAGCTTTTTTTCCATGGAGAAGGAGTTTTTGGTCTTCGTAGGCTAGTCATTATTCTTTTTTTTACCATTCAGCCATCTTGAATCATGCTGCTCCGTTCTGATTGGATGATGATCTCCCAGGGTACGGAAAATAGCAAAGTCCCTTCCCATGAAATCAGCAGATGTGCCAGAGTACAGCTCTCCATCTGCCAGCGAGAAAAGCGTAGTTAGGAACAAATGACCAGTTCATCCTGAAGCGAATATGTGTACTTCCTGGAACTAATCAAGGCAACAGATCAAACTCACCGATCAGGAGCGAGGCTGACAGCATTTTGGGGTCGTAGGGGCTTTTCCCGCGGCCATTCTCGAAATGCGAGGCCAGTCGAAAGATGTTGTCCTGAAGTGGAAGAGGTCAAAGTTTAACATGAGGCCAGTGAAAGTCACATGAAGCCTGGCCAAAGGTGCATTTATAGCCCGTGTTTCAAATTACACTTAATTCTTATTATAGTGAGCTGCTTTTGGAATAGCCAGCTCTGCTTTAGTCACAGATCAACAATAATTTCTACAAGAAAAAGAAATAACGGTAAATAAAGTAAAATAAGGCAGCAAAAGCACAGCTCACCCTCAGACTCTCAAAAGAAAAGTCACCTAGGAGAGACCAAACTTACTTAGTTTTCTTTAAATCAATTACTGAGAATGATACTTTAAACTCAACTGAACTCATGCAGGGCTTCTGTACTCTAAACCTGCATGGTGCAAACAGTCACTCCCCTCCCCATTGTCAGGCTGTAGAGCCCATGCTGGTGCATTGATTAACCTGTAGACCTTTATTAAGATGACTGATTAAACTTTTATGCAGGGGAGAGGTTGTTTAATTTCCGACGGCTGAAGTCGAACCATGTAGTGACCACTTTTTCCTCCACACAAAAGAAAACATTGACGAGAAGATAATCAATGAAGGGGAATGGTTACTGCTGTACTTGGCAAAAAATGTGTGTGTGTGTGTGTGTGTGTGTGTGTGGGTGTTCATGTATTACTCATGTTGTGGGGACACTGTAACATGGCCACACTGTGGGGACTCACCTTCCTTTAGTCCCTATAAGGTAAATCTTTCTAGTTTAGAGTGAAGACTTAGCTTAAGCTAAGGGTAAGGTTTAAGGTGAAGGCTATGGTTCACACTACCTGTCATGTTCAATGGAAGCTGGTGACATGAAGCTACAAACTGATGCATGACACATTGCAAATCAAAGTGGAGCTGGCCTCAACTTTATGGGCACTCCAATGATGCAGTGAAGCGTCAACCAATCATATGTTTTTGTTTCCAGCTGTGGTGCTGTGTTATTTAGCTAGTTAGCTGATGCTATGCTACTTTTCTGTGTGCTGCAGTGCACACAGGGGTGCAATGTGGCAGCGAAATGTCTGCTGTTAAAATTTGGTTCACGAAGTAATCAAAACCATATATATTTTTTGACTGAATACAAAGTTTGGGTGACGTTCAGTTGAGGTGTTTTGTGGCAAGTATGACACGATGACGTAACTACGGTAACAGGCGCTTGAGCAATACTTCAATAGTGACTCGGCAATAATGCAGCTAGTCATGCTGTTGCATTGTTGCTCATAGTGTGAACACAGCTTTTGGGTTTGGCAAGTAGTGGTTATGGCAAGGGTAAGTCTCCAGAAAATGAATGTAAGTCAAAGTGAGTCCTCTGAAACAATGGAACATGACTGTGTGTGTTTGTATGTGAGCAGAAACTGTTTTAAGGCGATACAAAAACACTGATGTCACATTTCATGACTCACTAATGAGCGCTCAATTGAGATCTAAATTTCCTTTTGCATACATATAACTGATTAAACATGTTAAAAAAAAAAAAAAAGCACAGTATTTGGTGACGCAACGTTCATGTACCCAATGTATTACCTCTGCCCTCTTGCCCATCTCCAGAAAAGAACAGATGGGGTGGAAGGCTCCTGTGCCACAGATATACAGGTGGGTCTGGTTGTAGGGTTGGAGGACCCGGATGAAGTTAGAACACTCCTTCTGGAAAAGAAATAAGACATAGAACATCAAACACCTCGCCCAATGTATAATTTCATGCAGTGAGACATACATCTGGCAAAGAGATATTGTGTAGGCAATACCTTTGTCTGTTTATGTAGTAATCCTACCAGCATAGTATATTATATAGCCTTGCAAAGCATGTGGATTTTTATGAAAGCGACTGCATATGTTAGCATTAACCTCTGAAAAGCCTCCTTCATATCATGCAGTTTGAATTAAGTTTTATCCATTATGAAAATAACATTGACACTTTTAATAAAGAAAGGCGCTGCTGTGATTGAATTGAAACTGGATAGTAATAGGAAGCAGAGAATAATGGAGAATATAGGAGAGCTCTGTTGGAATTCCCTTTAAAGCAGGGACTTTCCAGTTGGATTGGAAAGGACTTATAAAAGTCTCCTTCAAGGAAATCCCACCTGTAAGTCAAATCAGGCAAATCTACCTCAGATCTTTAATGATCCATATGTTTGAATTTACCGAGGGTGTTTGGGTTGGCTCTCCAGCACATGCTGATAGTCCCAGCGGTGTCAGACTGTTTATTAGAGTGCTAATCAACGGGATTGGTTAATGTAGGAGGGTTATTAGCAGCCTCGAGGAGTTGATTTGGGCACATGTGTTTAAGAGATTAGGCTGGGGTTTGCCTTATTATACATACACGCTGAATATCCACCTCACAAATAAGTCGACATTTGCTCGGGGATTTGGAAACGCAGCGCACACATCAAATCTCATGCAGACGGCCAAATTACCCTTCATTCTTCCTCCCCTTTAACACATGTATCTCTTCAGGCTTCCAAACCTCACGAACATTTCAGTATGATGATTTGATGATGTCCCTCATATGAGACATAAATGGATTCGAGGCTTCCGCTGAGTTCAGGTTTGAGTGATGACATTTTCCAGTGCAACACCAAATTGACTCTGGGATCACACAGTGCACAGCCTCTCCAAAAAACAGAATTTCCTGCTATTATTCAGGGGGGCAGAAACTCATGTTTGAGCTCTGACTCTTTCGCCTCCTTGGAAATCTGCTTAAAGGGAGAGTTCGATAATTTGAAAATGATGTTTAGTCACTGCTTCAGCAGGCAGCCTGCTAGCTTAACTTAGCACCAAGAATAAAACCAGGGGGAAACAGCCGCATCAAACCAAGAAGTAGTCGCTAATAGTATCATATTAGCGTTTCTAAAGTGATGTAGTAAATCAGCTGACATTTTCACTGGTACGGCTGGGTATCAGTAAGTATGTCAATAACATTAAGGTATTCACCGAATTAACCCAGTACGACCCTTTTGCAATCAGATCTAAAAAAGATGACTCTGTGGCTTTGCCATCGTATGGCTTTGCTTGCAGCCAATCACCGCGAGTATTCCTCCTTTTAATGCGATGTGTGATTGGCCCACTACTCCAGTAGCAACAACCCACATAGTCTTTGGTGTGGTGAAGAGCGCAGTGTATTTGTCCAACACATTCTCACTCCGACCTCGTAACATATCTACGTTTTCTTCACGGACCTTCCACATCCAGATATTATGTGAACGGTACCCTGGGTGTGTTGGTTGTTGACGTTCTGGGACACCGTGTCAAGTTCTGCCTGTTACATGCATTGTCTTCTTTCAAAATACACTTCTGTTTTCACAGGAAATTTACCGTTTTCATACAGTCTCTATCAAAATAAACGGACTACGTCAGCACAACAGGAATTTACGTTTTTTTGCCTCCAACAACAAAAACACATGGTTAGGTTTAGGAAAAAAGAACAGGGTTCGGCTTTAGAATCTTACAGGACGCGAACACCGGTCTCCTGGGTGAAGGCCACAGTTTGTTGAACCTATCCACCTAACCTACCGCCCGCCTTATTCGGAATTTTGCCACCTTAACTTTCAGTCTTGTCCTGCCAGGTCTCCCCTGACGCCGGCCGCTAATCTACCGATGTTAAAGGACGGCTTTTTTGTCAGTGCCTGATGCCGCAAATCACTGCCCAAGCACTGGATTTCAACGACTTCGGATTGATTTGATGGCGTTAGAAGTTCACTGTGCCGAGATGCTACCAAAATGTTCGAAAGTATGGCTATACTATATGCTTGTGGTGTCTGGTAGCATTTCACGCAACTGAATGCTTGTATTCACATAAAGGGTATCAAATGTTTGTAGACAGGAAGGAAGAAGACAATAAAAAGACCAACCATCACTGTGTTACAGCTGCTTTTGTGCCATAGAACATGAGTGTTTTCTAGCAGTGGTTGGCGCGTTCCCAACAAACTTTGTGCAGTCGAACTGTTTTTTAGTGACCTGTCACCACAATTCAAGAGGCATTTGTGCTACTAAACGTGGAATTTTTTTTAACCACCCATCACTAAATCTCCAGTGGCTTTAATTTTAAGCCAAAACATGAACCTTCCCTAACCGAAACCAAGTGGTTGTTGTCCCCAAACATAACCACAGTTGACACAGTTGTTGTTATTAACGTGACGTTTCGATGTATCCACTACATAATAACATAGAAATGTAACGTATCTGGGGTATGCAGAAATGTACAATGCCAACATTTTGGCAGCACCACAAATTGTCATTTTAACTAATTTCAACTAACTTTCAACTAAGCATATTTCCCAAAATGTCCCAATGTGCCCAAACTATACAGGAAGATACACTGATACACACTTCCAGTGGGTCATAAGTGATGATTAGGAGTCAATCCACTGACTTTTCAAGGAGAATCTGGCATAGTGTACCTTTAACCTGATGTTATACTACAGTGTAGCATGCTAGTAGTTTTAAGCTGACAGGGGATCATTCAACCATGCACCACCTTTCAACTGTGCATGTTATCATTAACCCACTACCCCAACAATGTTTGTACATTTTAGCCACAGGACTATTGCTGACTTTACAGAGGATGACCAAACTTGCATGATTCCTTGTGGCTGACCTCAACCCTGCATGTCTCTGCATCTATTTGACTGTGTAAATTAATGACTTTACCCTCTGTGTTTTCTGTCTCCCCCCCAACATCATTCTCACGACCTTATTATATACATTTCACCAGCTCCTATAATCCCCCTCCAATGTCAGCTCTGTTTAGGATTTTACACGGCTGTCTTCGAGTTAGACTCATTAGCTATGTGGTAGGTAGGTTGCACATAAACACTGACAGACGTTAGCTACGCGCGTCACTCAAACACACGGCTCAGTCGTGCCCCCAGGTGAAAAACGGTCTCCCTGATCACAAACCATGTCATTATGTGAAAACCAAAACACCCGCAGAGGATTAATGAGTCATTATTGGATCAAACTAATGACTCACTCTGGACTGGGTATTGATGATGACTTTCCATGGGAGAAATGGGTGGACAGATTTGAATGTGGGTTTGTATATATTTGGATGAGTTGAGTGAATTCTGAGATTGAGCCGAGACCTTTAATTGAATATGGAGAATGCATTAGACATGTAGGATAACTTTTATTCTTCCTTTAATATCTGGGAAAATATTCAGAAATGACATCAGGCGGCTCTACGAAATCCTGAATCCACACTCCAGTATCCGAGCCCTTTTGTTAGCTGAATCAAACGCAACAACCTGGGCCATGTTACACACTCATCCTGCCAAGGAGAATGATACAGCCATCAGGCATTTTGGAAGCGGGCAGCTGTTACATTTGTTCTGCGGCTGTAAATTGTGGTTTGGAGAAATGCATCACTTTGGGAGCTCTGAATGCTTTAGTAATGTCCTAATCAAGGCCTCTGCATGCTGCGCTCCGTCTCTGCTCTCACCGCCTCATTTTCAAGGGTAAACATTTTCACAGCTTGCAAATACCTCATCATTGTGTTTTGTGTGATTTTTCTGCAGCCAGAAATATTCTCTTTCCACTGTGCGAGGGCGCGAAGGTGTAGTGTTGCTTGTGTGGTTGCAGCGTTGTGTTTGCGCGAGAATCCCGGAAAGCTGGCAGTTGAGTTGGACGCCCAGCAAAAACCTCTGTGATTTAAAAGGGCTACGTAATTCTGGATAATCCCAAAACTCTGCAGCCGCCGCACTCCAGACTCATCCAGCCGTGAAATTAAGATCAGATACAACACAGAGTGGGCCTATCCAAACACAGAGATAACACACACCAACCTCGCCGTGCACACGAGCAAAGCTGGTGGCATATAGTATGTGTTCAGCAAACTTGGGCAGAATGGCACATGTGAGCTAACACGTCGTGCCAGATAACGAGAACTCAAACACTCCCACATAAATATGCACACATGTGCACACTCTGAGGCACAAACATAAACATCCTCCTGACATTAGCGTCACAGCAGCAAATAACCTCTGTGGTAATGCGTCCTCGAGTGACTGAGACACTGTGTACACCTTAATGTGACCGCACATCTGTTGTACAACGTGTTTAGCTGTTGGTTTCCCTGGGGAACGGCCTAGAGAGTACAGTGAGCCAGAGGTGAGATTCATCACTGTACTATCACTTTTATGTGAGCTAATTCCATTCCTCTGCTCTTGTACTTGTGTGGCCGCTGGTACCGGGGCGACTCCTTCTACTGCTGCGACCAAAACATGCATTCCAGAGAAATTTGAAGACTTACATGGACGCGGGACAGACGTATAATTTGTTTAACAATAGAAGCAGAAATTGCAGGGAAGAGCTCAAACGATGATGCCATCGTGAACGTGGACTTACCCCGAGGTCTTTCCCTGCCCACTTGCATTCGTCCCTCTTGGAGGGGGTGGCGGGCCACGCAATCTGTGCACATGAGAGAAAGACAAAGTCATACTATGCCGGAGGAGGAGAGAGGAGACTTCACATGTCTTTGAGTGAGTCAATGCAGTGAATCAGAGAGGGATACAGATTTGTGTCATTCCAGGAGAATGACTTTGGATTTGTCATGTTTTATTTTGAAATTCTTTGTTTACTCACTTCCTTATTTCCCTCTATACACCCTGCTCATAGCATCAGTGTTGCGTGTCCGTATGATCAACACGGTACCGCCTTTGAAACACTAAAATGATGACTGCATCAAAGTGGAGAAGGTGAATGAAAATGAGGAGACACAAGTTAAAAGTGTGCTGTGTTTATGTGAAATTGGATAAGTTAAAGCACGTAAAAACACCTTGGAATATCACCCTCTTCTCTTCCTGAGTCGATATAGACAGTTTATAAAGTCCAAATATGGGTTCTGGTTCAAATTATGGCATTTTAAAAAGTTAAACTCTTCTCTTCAGCTGAAATCCTGAACATATGGTTGTAGTTTTCACTTCAAATATTAAAAGAAAGTTCTCTTTCACTGCTTTAGTTTGGACTCATTGTGAAGTAAATAATGGCTTTGTACTGTCCTTAAGGCGAATCTATCAGTGGCCCCTGGTGTCACATGGATTATAAACACACACATGTGTAAGGGAGTGATTATGTACTCAAAAATTGGGTGCGTTTGAACTCACTTTCTTGCTGGTGGCCACACAGATGTGGACGGACAAAGGAAATGTATGCACACGCATGCACGTGCATTATTACATCCATATAATATGCACACATTCCTCATTCTATTCCTAGACTTTATCTCCTCTCTGGATCAGCTGAGTTTTCCTCTCCTGGGAATGTGCGCTGCACATTTCAGGGTAATTACATTAGATTTGCTTAATCACTGCTTTTTGGCCTTTATCTGATAATGATGCAAAGATCAGAACAAAAGAGCGAGAAAAGGGAAGAAGAGAGAATACACATCCGAGCCAAGGGCGAAAAGAATTCACTCTTTCTCTCTTTCTCCGTCTCTCGCTGCATTGACTATGTATTTTTCAGCACTTTCATTCCCCCGCTCGGCTCTCTGCAGCCTGCAGGCAAGTTTGTGTCAGTCTGTGTCTGTGATAGCAGCTCCAATCTGATAAAGAGACTGTTAACCTAGTCCAGGTGGAGTAATGGAATTATGGACAGCCCTGTCTGGACCAAGACAGACAGTGGGAGGGAGGGAGGAAGAAGAGGTGGTGTATATGGACTCCAGAGGGAGCAGCGGGGAGAGGAGAGGAGAGGAGAGGAGAAGAGAGGAAAAGGGGGAAAGGAAAAGGAAGGAAGAAAAGGGGAGGAGACAAAAGAGGAAAGAAGAGAGGAAGAAAGGAAAGAGAAGGGTGAAGAAGAGGCAGGAAAGGGGAGGAGATGACAGGGACGAGGGGAAGAAAGGAAAAGGGAGGACAGGAGAGGAGACAAAAGAGGTTTGGTTTTAAAAGAGGATAGAAGAGGAGAGGGGAGAGAGATGAGAAAACAGGGGAGGAGAGGGGTGGAGAAGAGAGGAAAACGGAGGAAAGGGGAGGGGAAGGGTGAAAAACAGGGAGGAAGGGGGAGGAGAGATGAGAGAGACGAGAGGAGGAGAAAGGAAAGAAGAGAAGAGGACAGGAGAAGAAAGGTGAGAAGAGGAGAGGCGAGAGAAGAATAGGAAAGGAAAAGGAAGAAAGGAGAGGATGAAAGGAAAAGGGAGCAAAGACAGAAGAGGAAAGAGGAGGAGAATGGAGAGAAGAGAAAACAGGGGAGGGTGGGGGAGAAGAGGAGAGAAAAGGGAGGAAAGGGGAGGGGAAAGGTGACGAGGAGGGAGAAAGGGGGAGGAGATGAGAGAGACCAGAGGAGACGGAAGGAGAGAAGAGAAGAGAAGAGAGGAAAAGAGGAGAGGAGGGGAGAAGATAGGAGAGCGGAGGAAAAGGGAGGAAAGGGGTGAAGACGAAGAGAAGAAGCGAGGGAAGAGAGAGATGAGAAAATAGGGGAGGAGAGGGGTGGAGAAGAGAGGAAAAGGGAGGAAAGGGGGGTGAAAAAGAGGGAGGAAGGGGGAGGAGATGAGAGAGACGAGAGGAGGAGAAAGGAAAGAAGAGAGGAGGACAGGAGAAATAAGGTGAGAAGAGGAGAGGAGAGAGAAGGAAAGGAAAGGGAAGATAGGAGAGGAGGAAAGGAAAAAGGAGGAAAGACAGTAGAGGAAAGAAGAGGAGAATGGACAGAAGAGAAAATAAAGGGAGGATGGGGGAGAAGAGGAGAGGAAAAGGGAGGAAAGAGGAGGGGAAAGGTGAAGAGGAGGGAGAAAGGGGAGGAGATGAGAGAGATGAGAAGAGAAGGAAGAAGAGAAGAGAGGAAAAGGGAGGGAAGGAGAGGAGACAGAAGAGGAAAGAAGAAGAGAGACAAGAGGATAAGAAAGGAGAGAAGAGAGGAGGACTGGAGAGGAGAGGAAGAAAGGAAAAGGGAGAGGAGGAGAGGAAACTGTAACCCAAATAAAGCTGAGTACATCTGTATTTTACCATTTTGTGGTCTCTGTTGATGTTAACGAGGTCGAATGAGAAGATGTGGTCTTCGGCTCCGACCAGTAGTCTCCCTCGCTCCTCGTCCAATAGGAAAGCGTCGTAGCTTGAGCTGTTGGCCAAGCCGTTGAAGGTGACGAGGTTACTGGACTCTAACATCTCTGGAACAGAAGGAGGAGGAGAAGTTGGCGTCGATGACGTACAGTGACGGCTTACAAAGAGTTTGAAAACTGAAGTTAGTGAAGCTGGTGTGAAAATAAATAAATCAGTGCTCCTCAATCAGTCCCCTTTTCCCATGTTTCCTTAATTGCTTTTCCACACACACGTTTGCACACACTTCCATACAGACACACGTCAGTCAGGTATAGCGTGAGACGTTTGAAGTGAACACAACATGCCCCAATCAGGGACACAGTTCAGACTGTTCAGCCGTGTGATTGGTTGAATAATTCATACCGAGTCAGGGCCAGTGGAGACACTGTGTGTGTAAGTACGTGTGTGTGTGTGTGGCCTGTAGCTGTAAATGGGTTATTATGTAAATCAGCACTGACGAATGTGAGTCTTTAAGTGTATACTAACATTATAAGGGTAAATGGAAAACAAGCATTATGTATGGGCTGAAGTCTAACCAGACCTCTGATGGTTAGTTAACTTTTAACCACCACAGACGAGTTTCATCCGCTCTGATGTTACATTAACAAAGAACCAAACTCCCTTCCTGAGACCAAGTTATCCCCCTGACTGAATTTGGCTCCAGTGAACCTTGTCAGACAAAACAGTTCATTTATATTCATATATAATTTTACATTAGCTGAACCAGTGTCAGGAAGTAGTGAACATGTAATTAAACTTGTAGTTCAGCTACATTCATGTGTTCTGGGTCATAAAAGTAAAGGACTGATCTTTTGTTTGCATTTTATCATTGCTTTTATACTGTTATTAAACCCCTTTTGACCATGATCAATCAGTATTGATTGTTGCAATTTATTAAATGTTCAGAGAAGTTGCTGTAGGCTGTTTTGCCCAGCTATAGTAACCCTGCTCGGTGCAGTGCACCCACCAAGACTCTAGTTTCTGGACGGCAGGTGTGTGACTGATGGACAGTATATACAAAACAAAAGCGGACATTCCTGCACTTTCCCATGAATAATGGGGTATTTTTTGTTTTATGACCTGAGAACAAGTGGGAACTTTTTGCAATAAACTCAACTGAGTGGTGTTTTTTTGTTTGCATGCAAATTCACAATTGGGTAATTTTTTACTAAGTAGCTTAAGTTAACTAAACTCTAATCTCTCAAGACAGATTCTGCAATTTACATTGTAGAATCTGTCGGCAGCCCTGTGTGAAAGGCGACTAGAGAGTGAGGGAGGGCGGGGCTTTGAGTTTGAGTTTGAACGATGCTGCGCTTTAGCCAATCACGATGGAGGGGGCGGGGCCGAGACGTGCAGGTGTCCCCAGGAAATGTGTACCTACAGAAACAGCAAGCTCCGCGTCCATAGCGACTGCTCCACCCAAAACACCGTCTCATCAACGTGAATTTTTTTTTTTTTTCCAGCGGATGTCTTAGTTACAACATGATTGAGCTAACTGGAGTAGTTTCATGTCGTATCCGACAACGGGAGGACGTCCTGATGTTAGCTTTGCTAACTGTCCCTGTCAGCTGCAGCCACTGATGCTTTCTAGACATCGTGATTTCCCATAACTGAATAAATACAACACATAGCAACACAAGACCGCTTTGCTAGCTCAATCATGTTGTAACTAAGATATCTGCTGGAAAAAATATTTTATTCACGGACCGATATATAGCTAAACTCTGGTTTTCTACCTGAAGTATTTGTAAACAACGCGGTGATTCCCTGGGGGCACCGCAGGAAGTGAAGGGCGTGAGCGATCGCCGAGGCCCCTGCACTTCTGTTAGTCGAAAAACTCCGGGCTGTGCCTCCAGAGGTAAAGGTAGAATTTTTTTTTTTTTTTTTTTTTATTTAAACCGATGGATTTCCAGATTGACTAAACTATAAATCTCTTTGCTGTGGTCCAGCTACTTCCTGTGTGAAGTAATTGGTAGCTTGCAAAACTAAACTTTCAAAGTAGCTTCCCCAACACTGAGCATAGCCATATTTCCAAAGACAATTAATTGGCAACCATTTAGACCAGTGGTTCCCAACTGGTCCAGCCACAGGGTCCAGATTTCTCCTTAGTCGTTAGTTCAAGGTCCACAGAGTTTAATACATTCAGGGTCATACTTGTATTCTGCCATGTCATCGAGCTACTTTGCTGTCTCTGTGAAGCAGCTGTCCAGTAGTCACTCACTCTACAGGAAACTGTACTTCAAAATAAAAGCTCTGTGCTGGATATTCACTATACTTCAAATAAAATGTGTTTGGAACAAACTTGACATGTTGGCACGTCACCTATGGTCCATTTAGAATGAACCCACGACCCACTTTTGGAACCACTGATTTAGATGATTAATTTCTTTAGTAAATTATCAATAAAAAATAGCAAACATTGTCTTGTTCTAGCTTTTAAAATTAAAGGAGTTAAGGAGTCTGGGAAACTGTGACAAGCTGTTTTCACTGTTTTACTATTTTGTAGACTAAACAATGATCAAATAATCAAGTAAAAACAACAAGCCATAGACTATAAAATATTCAAAATGATCATTAGTTGCATTCCTCCACAGTATAAAAAATTTCCACCATTGATACTACTGTACAAACCACTAGAGGTGTGAGAAAATATTGCTACACTTAAATTTTGTGACACAACACTAAATGACAGAATAGATTGAGTTCCACTGACTTCTAAAACTACATATCAACGTCCCCAAAACAACATATATTACCGTCCTACCAGTCACAGTTTTAAACACGTCCTTAAGTTATGAAATTCTTGCAATTACGCTAAAAACTTTGTGGCTAGGTTTCCAAAATCCCTGTGGTTTGGCTTTCGATAAGTACTTTTGATACTAACATAACATCACATACATCATGTAGCGTAATGTACTACACATACTAGAATACTACGCTACGTTGTTGCTTAATAAAGACCTCACTTACTTTGGGGCACAAACACTGCTCTCTGGGTGAAAGTCCTATCTGTTTGACCCATCCACCACCCCTCCATCCAAACCCTATTTGGGCTTCTTCCATCTTTACACAACATCACACTGACTTTGTCACCTTTTCTACTTTGTCACCTTACTTTCTCCTCTACTCCTGTAATAATTTATACGGAGCACCAGTAGTCACGAAGGAGTCATAAAGGGCGCACCACTAACACCACCATCATAAAATTATTCATTCATTTTCCAAGACCACTTATCCTGTTAGGGGTCGCAGGGTGCTGGGGCCTATCCCAGCTGACATTGTGCGAGAGGCAGGGCAGACTATCACAGGGCTGACACACAGAGACAGACAACCATTCACACTCACATTCACACATACAGACAATTCAGAGTCACCAATTAACCTGCATGTCTTCGGACTGTGGGAGGAAGCTGGAGTACCCAGAGAAAACCCGCGTTGACACGGGAGAACATGCAAACTCCACACAGAAGGGCTTCCCCACCCCGGGTTTGAACAAGGAACCCTCTTGCAGTGAGGCGACAATGCTAACCACTGCACCAATGTGCCGCCACATCCTAAAATTTGATTTTTTTTAAATTACAATATCGCAATATATCGCAATGTGGCCTATTGAGTACGGGTGGTAAATCACCAGAGACCCCACGATACGATTTTATCACGATACTGACATGATGCAATATTATTGCAACTTTCAATGTTGAGTATTGGGATTGCCACAGTTCGATAACCTTTATTGCAATAAATTGTATCTAGTGGACTGAAAAAGCAATTTATTTTATTCTTCTACCAGGCTACCAAAAGTTCAATTTGTATTTGCAGTATTAATGATTCAAATAATAAATAAAACCCAATACTTTACATCCACGTATTGATACAATATTGCCACACAAAATAGCATGATACTTTGCTGTATCGATTTTTCTCCCCGCCCCTAATGTTCAATCATAACCCCTGTATAGTGATACCTATCGTATTGCCAGATTCTTGCCGATACACAGCCCTAATAAAGACATTTTATTAGTTACTGTTCTTCCTCTAATATCATCTAATTACTCCATATTTCTATGGTAGAGAAGTTGTCCAAATATTTTAGTCTTTAATTATAATTCAGAACAAAACAATGGAATATCTGAGCTAATTGAATCACAGCCTTTATACTGTGTAAATTGTCAATCAAGAGAGACTCGTTTTTCCTTACACAGAGTAGATTTCTCTAAAAAATATTATAATAATACTACTAACATCTGTTTTCCAATTAAACGAACAGAATCTGAATTAACCCTTTCACCATTTGCCTCTGGTCGGTCCACTGGATACAAAACATGTGCTTTACATTTTCACCACAGGTACAGTCTTCTAATACATCAGCCTCACTATCACACTACATCATCCATCATCATCAGTGTCACCGTACAGCATGGACACACGCAGGCACACAATATAGAAACCAGAACACATGTGCACACAAACACGTATGTACTGGATGTATATATTTATAGACACACGCACGCACACACAGTCCGGCGGATTGTGATCTCTCTGCTCTCCACACAAAGCTCTGATTGACGGGCTGCTATAGGAGCCATCTGCGCCCACTCACAGTGTGTAAGATCTTGGACATCTGTGTCTACATAAAAGAAGGGATTGATGGCAGGGGAGATGGAGGAAGTAGTGTGTCAACCGTGTCTGTGTGTCGAGTACCGGTGGGGTGGTGGAGAACCGTGAGAGGGAGTGGTCGTCACCTAATAAAAACGGTTGCAGCTCATCTGCGTCAGTTGGATTCTGAGGCTGAGGAAATGGAGTGGGTGGGTGTGGGCATGAATGGAGGTCTGTGGATGTGTGTTTGTAGTGTACCACAGATGGGTTGAGCGTATGTGTGTGGGTTTCAGAGTGTGTGTAGGTATCTTTTTTCCACACTGGCCATTAAACGCACGCCGACATCCTGGCATTCACATTTGTACACACTCGTAAGGCTGCTACCACAGGGAGACAACCCGACAATACTCAAATGATCATGACAAGGAATTAAACACTCAAGATAAGAAGTGTCGTCAGAGCCGTTTCATTA